CTGGGGGGGGATTTCTCGCTTGCTTTCTGTCTCTCTGTCTTTCTCTGTCTTTCTGGCGAGTGTTTTTTTTTTTTTTTTTTTCCAAAAAAAAAAAAAAAAAAAAAAAAAAAAAAAAAAAAAATCAAGGTTAGTAGTGCATTTTATGATTTTTTTTCAAAACTTTTTTAAGTACTTGAATTTTATATCAGGAAAATAAAATTTTGAGCCTTGCTTCTTCCCTTTTGCCCTTTGTCTCTCCTTATTCTTTTTTTTGGGGGGGGGTCAACCAGAGGGCAGAGGGTGGTTTGCTTTTTTTCTCATTCTAGCATAATCTATTTTACCTTTCTTCATTTCTTAGTTACCTGTTCTTTATCCCAGTTTTAAAATATTCCTCAACCAAAAAATTTGTTGGCTTGAATTTTTTTACAAACATTTCTTTGAGCGAAGTTTAAATGTCCTTATTGTAGCTACTGTTTTTAATTTAAATGTTCAACTTGAAAAGACGTTTTTAATCATGGTGCCAAAATTCATTTTTCTAACACTGTGTGTTAGAAAATGATGAAAAATAAAATAATTTTAAATAAATTTTTGTTCTCTTTATTGTTGGTGTGTGGGAGGCTGCACACCAGCGAATATCGCCGGTTTCTCAGAGAGCAAACAATTACACAAAGGCTCCCCTTCAAAACCCCACCTTTAAAACCATACTCTGATTGGCCACTTCCCATAGCAAATCAGTGAGCTTAGAATCCCTCAGATTTGCATATCCGGCACCTCATGATTGGTCCACAAAAGCAACCAATCATAACCCACCTTTTACAATCCTTCATTTAACCAATCACTGCCCACCAACATGCATATAACCAGGATCCCTGGCCCACAATCACAGGACGACCCTGAGGAGTTGTAACATCACGTCATCTCGAGGCGACCCTGAAGAGTTGTAACATTGTGCTGCCCACAATAAACGGAGGACCCTGAAGAGTTGTAACACTGCGCCTGTTCATCCAGTCTCTCACTCCTTTGACCATCCTGTGGGTCCAGACATTGGTGATTTGTTTCTAGAAGTGAACGAAGGAGGTAATAGTCTGAATGAATTTCTGGAGATAAAAGCTGTGTAGATTTAATGCTTGGTAGATTTAATGATATTATAACCTATCAAAACTATTTTGAATTGTAGGTTCAGTTGTAAAAATTCTCAATATTATCGTGACTAGGGATGTGATCTAACACTTTTTAAAAGTGAGGAAATATAAAAATAGAGGAAATTCTATTTTTGTCTCTCCATTTAGTGGTGCTTTTTGGGCCAGGCACTATTTAGGTATTGAAGATACAGTGATGAACTTTATCGTCTCTGGGATCTGGTCTATGGAATTAAGGAAGTTCTATCTGTGTCCTTTTCCTTAATAGTCAAAGCAAATTCTACTCTCCATCAACAAGGATGTGAAGACCTGTTAATAAGGATTTGTGAATTATGTTACTGTACTTCAAAGGTGGTATTCAGTGTATGTGTCACCTTGTATTGTATAGTTGCCAACCTTAGACCCAACTCTGGTTGTAAAAGCAAGTTGAGGTCTACCAGTGCAAACCAGCTAAATGTTCCCAGGGGTACAATGCACAGGAAATAACTTCCTAGATACTTGTTCTCTTCTGTTGTTACGGACATGGGGGCTCACCTACCATACCTGTGTTAGTCTCATGCCACATTTTCAGAAATTAGATCAGGGCAGTCAAGTGAGCACATTTCTATCTTCACTCTTATCATAGATTCCATGAAATAATATAAAATGTCATAGTGGGGGGGGGATAAGAAAAATTCCCATAATAGATCAGAAAACCAGCAGTTAGCATAATGGCTATATTGCTGGACTCCCATGTAGCCAACTGCTGTTCAAGTCCCGGACCCAGTGGCTTAAAACTCACGCCAGGCGCATGTGTGTGCATGCCCAAGATCCCGAGAGGAGAATGGAGAAGGGATTGCGGCGTGGCCATCCCCTCTGGGGGGTGATTTCTCGCTTTCTGTCTCTCTGTCTCTCTCTGTCTTTCTGGTGAGCACATGTGCCCTATAGCAAAAACCTGTATTAAAAAAAAAGAAAATTTGAAATATGGAAAACAAGGGGGGGCCGGAGGTATGGAGAAAACTGCAGCTTGACATGCACGGAGGAGAAGACAGTAAAAGAGCCATTGTGCTTGTGCGACCACTCCTTGTATGGACTGATTATAAGGACTTTCAAAAGAATAAGATACATCTAAGAGAGGTGAACCTGAGAAAATAACATCAAACTATGTAGAGTATGACACCATTTATAATAAGGAACAAAAAGAAAGCTACATATGTGTGTATACACAAACGTTTTCTAGAGAAGAGCCTGCACTGCGCAGTGGTGTGAGATCATGGAGGACACATGGGATTTGTGCCTTTTCACACTTTATACCTCTGTGTTATCAAAATCTTTTACTACGGAAATATATTTGTATATTATTGTTTAATGACAATACAGTCAATGGAAAGGGGAGGAGGGGATGGCCTAGAGGGAGCCAAATCCCGCATGGCTATGCTAGGTTTGAATCCTGCCTCATGGCAGTATTCCAGTACAGATACGGGTGCCCTGGAAGGAAAAAGAGTGCAGGCTGACCTGGCCCCATTAGCGAGTGCTGTCTCTGGCATTACAAAAGGGGTCTATGTGAGGATTCTCATAACCAATTTAATCAGAATAAAGGCAGATATATTGATGTCAGCAGTAACCGTGTGCATGTGCTTGTGTGTGTGTGTGTGTGTGTGTGTGTGTGTGTGTGTGTGTATGTACATACAGTACAAAAGGGCTTTAAATACTCATGATGGCAACTTTTCCAATTCTTAATGTGCACAGAGATCAGCATGGGTATTTTTCCCTATTATAGGTACACGACTAGATACATCTTCATTTTGCATCAGCTTTGTAAAATACCTTTGATCTGTCTGTACGTATGGGTAACTTACCTGAGAGGTCGCATAGCTTTCTATAGAATAAAAATATGGAAAATTGTAAACATAGGAATTGAGTGTCCGTACTAGTGACAGAATCGAATCTGTTTACAAGTTCCCTTCCTCTTGTTTTCCAGTTTGCTATATGTACTTCTTAATTTCCCTGCTTGCTAAGCCCTAAAAGCCAGTCTCATACGCGGTCTTTGAGACCTGACATTCATTGGATTAATGGAGCAAATTCTTCAACAGATCTCTCTAAGTTGCAGTAAAGAATAGCAGAACTTTCAGCTACAAATGAGGGTCAGCCTGTGTTAAATAACTGTCCTTGACTAGATGCGGACTGTTGTAGAAAATTAAAGTCTTTAGGTCTCCATGAAAGCAGCCTTTGTCCATAGCAATTTTTCTGTGGTCTTCTAGAATAGCAAGCTACAGACTTTCAGAAGCACTTTTTATTAAGAAAAAGACATGGAGCAGAAATGTAGAAGGGGTATGTAGGAAACTCTTTAATGGACGCTATGAAGTTTGGTTTAAAATTGAGAAAAGTGTGCTAAAGAGTAAGTAAGGAAGAAAGTAGGAAACTATATACGTGGACACGCTTTAGAAATGCAGAGATGGGCAGTTCCTTGACCTAAGGGTAACACATTATTCAAGAGAAACTGGATCCCATCTGGTGACTGTGGTTCAAATCCCCATGCTTGAAACATGCTGGGCACTGCGTGGGTGCTCATGTTTCTGCAGGCTGGAGGCTTGCAAGGGAATCTCACCAGCATTAGAACCTGTGTGTGGGGAGGGTGTTCCTCTCTAGCACTCATGTGAACATGCTCTATCATAAATAAGGAAAAAAATTAATGCAAAATACTATATGACTAAGAAAAAAACGAGACAGTGAGTATGTATGGATCTATGGGCGGAAGTTAGAAACGGATAAAGGGTATTTTTTGACAGAGACTTGCCATGGTGAGCCTCCCAATTGGCTAGGACCATAAGCATGTGCCCCATCACCTGGTCTGTTCAGATTGATCTGGGATCTGAACCCAGGCCTCCAGCCTCACACAGCAGTGCACTACCACTGGTGTCACTGCAGCTGGGCCCTAATGTATTTTGATACAAGGAACTAGAAAACATGGAAAGGTAAATATACAGACAAGGGATTTGTAGATTTTGTAAATCTTAGGTCTCCCTGATGGCATTTTCTTTTCATTGCAAAGGTTAATGTTATATTTTGTTTCATTCTTACTATATTAAAATTGATTAGAAAACATTCACATGGAAAAGTGGCTTATTGCTGACATGTTACTGAGGTGGTGGTGGTGTTTTTTTTTGCTCCATCAAGCAT